CCACCTGGAAATCTACAATTCGCCTCTGGATATCACCCCGGCTCAACTCCCCTCCACATTCACCCTGAACTTCCGCATTGTAAGTTCTGCCTACAATTCTCTCTCTGAACCGCTTCCTGGTTTACCCTCCGCTGGATCACCAGTGCGCCCTCAGTTCTCCTCATCATTAAAGAAATAAAATTACTGTTTATCTTTTACCTCGACTCGAGTCTGATTCTGTATGTCTTGGGTTAGACACTTACCCCAAAACATGACAGAAAAATACCGCGAATTGGTGAAAAATACCACGAATCGGCGAATTTCCCTTGAATAAGGCTCCAAAGAAAAGTTCCGCGAAGTCGTGAATCCGCGATAAACGAACGGCGAAGTAGCGAGGGATCACTGTATTTACAAACGAAATGGGTTTTAACGGAAAGCGCCAGCCCATAAGGGGCTGGGAATATGAATCGAAATACTCTAATATCCTTAACGAAAACAGGAGCAGGCCTGATAAGGAGGGTCTCTCAGGGCAATATCAAGTCCAACGTCCAAAATACAATCCAAGGTCGAGTTTACCACAAAGCTAACAATAATGGAGCGCAGGAGGAGAAGAGAGCCGAGCGAACACTTCAGTGCCCACTCTTCCCCGGACCTTCTCCCCGTTTCGGGCAGGGTGACAGGCTTTTATCAGCTGGTGAGTGATTGGGAATCATCCACAGCTGGTCATCTGGTGGAAGGGACAGGCGAGGCGGGAGCCACTGAGGCCATCTAGTGGCCCAAAAGGGGAGCGTACGTAACAAGCTCAGCAAAACAAATGGACCTAAGCCAAGTAAGTTTGTGACCTATAAAACATGGAGTATGCACAGCTTCTCTCTGCTTTATAAATCACACTCTACCTAGAAATGTTCTCAGGTGTTTCTGGATCACATCCCGCCCTCACCACGCCCACTTTCTGCCATAGTCAATGCAGTGCCTTGTGGATCTCATGCATGTACATAAGCCGGCTCGTTGCAGCGCTCCACCATTAACGATGGCGACTGCAGATCAAGGAAGCGCAATTTCACAGAAGCAGAAGTTGAGGTACCTGTGGGTGAGGTGGAGAAATGAAAGGAAGTGCTTTTGCAAAACAAATAAGAGAAAATCCACGGAGTGGCACAGCGTTGCTGAAGCCGTCAATGCTGAGTTCTTCAGAGAGATCCGTGGCGGATATAAAAAATGATCCGATCTGAAGGTGGAGGCAAAAAAGAAAGATGTTTAGCCACCGCCAGAGTGTGTCTGCCCCTGACGGAGCTGGCACCTCTGATCTCCCACCGCTCGCCGTGAGGATCCCAGCAGTACTCGGACCGGCATGCGTGCGTGGCATCGTGCCGGAGAAGGAGGGAGACACTGACACTGACTTAAGCCTTTTATTAATACAGATCAACTGTGTCTGTTATTAAAATATAAAACAAAACCAAATCTCGTTGTCCACCCCCACTGACTCTGGACGAAGCGTCCAACGAGGCATCCCGGGCGGCGACCGAAGATGTGGCTGCAGGGTCGGCCGGTCTCACCAGTGCGCCTCGGGCGCATGGCACACCTGGAAGTGACCGGGGGCTAACCGACGCTGTCCTGCAGGCACAGAGGGACGTGGTTGGTGCGGCGAACAAAGTGAGGGAAGAACTGCACAGAATATGTGACGTCCTGACTGCAATTTCAGGAACACGTGAATAATTGGCAAGAAAGTAAAAGATGAAAATCGTGCCTTCTGTGTTGGTTCTATAAATGACGCATGACATTCTGTGTCACGTTGAGAGGTGGAGGAGTAGGACCCGATGTGCAGAAACCGAGAACGACACGGAGCAGGAGAGAATGTAAAAAGAGACATCTTCATTTAAGATGAATAGTCCAAAACAAAACGTGGTACGGAGCCAAAAATCTCACGTAGGGCAGAGCCAACGAAAACCTAGAGACCTGGGGGGGGGGGGGGGACAAAACAACGCTGACATCAGACAATGGGCCAACAACAGACAGAGACGCAGACAGGGTTTTATACACTGGGGCATGATGGGAGGCAGATAGGCTGCAGGTGTGTGGGGCGAGAAATCAGGTGAACTCAATTACTAATGAGGGAGAGGGCAGTGAGTTGAAGAGGAAGAAAAATAACATGACCTAAGATTAAAGACAAATCCTAAAAACAAGAAGAGCAAAAATAACGAACTAATAATCTGAGGAAGGAGAACTAAAGAACCGGTGGGGGGGGGGGGGGGAAGAAACACACCAAAAGAGACTAATAACATGAACAGCTGAAGCTAAAGGGAAATGACCTAAGAGTAAAACCTAAAGACCAGAAGAGCAGCAAACATAACTAATATTCTGGGGGGGGGGGGGGGGGGGGGGGGGGGGGCTGAAAAGGAAAACACTACAGAAAGAAAAGCTACAGGGGCGTGACTAAGGGGGACCACGGGAGCACTAGACCTGGGAGGGGGATACCTGAGGAGGGAAACCTAGAGGGCTGAAGATCTGGGGACAAATGGGGAACACCAGGAGACACATGAGGCACATGGAGCGTCGACCACAGTTTATGTATTTTAAAATGTAAAATTTCAAGTTAAGAGGAATATTTAGAATTGATGTTGGTGAGAAATATTAGAGACAAAGGACACGTTTGTGAACTGGAAACACAGGATTGGATGGTAAACAGGTAAAAATATCACACACTGGGCCTTTAAGGTGAAACAACTCAAGCATATCAAGGAGTTGTTCTGCAGAGTTGCTGGTAGCCTCATCAACATAAATATTAAAGTCACCACTTGTGATAAGGTGTGTGTAATCTATACAGGTCCTTCTCAAAAAATTAGCATATTGTGATAAAGTTCATTACTGTCTGTAATGTACTGATAAACATTAGACTTTCATATATATTAGATCCATTACACACAACTGAAGTAGTTCAAGCCTTTTATTGTTTCTAATATTGATGATTTTGGCGTACAGCTCATGATAACCCAATAAAAGAAAAGTGTTTTTAATACAAAAAAAGTCAATAGTTATGTTGTTCAGTTATGCACCCGATACTTGGTCGGGAATCCTTTAGCAGGAATGACTGCTTCAGTGCGGCGTGGCATGGAGGCAATCAGCCTGTGGCACTGCTGAGGTGTTATGGAGGCCCAGGATGCTTCGATAGCGGCCTTAAGCTCATCCAGAGTGTTGGGTCTTGCGTCTCTCAACTTTCTCTTCACAACATCCCACAGGTTCTCTACGGGGTTCAGGTCAGGAGGGTTGGCAGGCCAGTTGGGCACAGTAATACCATGGTCAGTAAACCATTTAGCAGTGGTGTTGGCACTGTGAGCAGGTGCCAGGTCGTGCTGAAAAATGAAATCTTCAACTCCATAAAGCTTTTCAGCAGATGGAAGCATGAAGTGCTCCAGAATCTCCTGATAGCTAGCTGCATCGACCCTGCCCTTGATAAAACACAGTGGACCAACACCAGCAGCTGACATGGCGCCCCAGACCATCACTGACTGTGGGTACTTGACACTGGACTTCAGGCATGTTGGCATTTCCCTCTGCCCAGTCTTCCTCCAGACTCTGGCACCTAGATTTCCGAATGACGTGCAAAATGTGCTTTCATCCAACAAAAGTACTTTGGACTTTGTACTTTGGACTTTGTACTTTGCTTCTCTGTAGCCCAGGTCAGGGATGTGAAACTTGGGGTAAGGCTTCAATGAGAACTGGTGCACAGGTGCTATCAGATAACCACACATCTGTCAGGAAGATGGCATCAAGATTGTGAGAGGAGATGAGATCATTTACTAGAAATGACTTATTACTGAGAGAGCTAACATTTAGTAAAGCCATCTTCATTGAAGTAACTGGAGGATATTGAGTTGAATTAGGTTGATGAGGAACTGTTATCAGGTATCTAGGACTATGTGTTCGAGAAGGCACTTTCAGTCTTGCAGAGATTATGACAGGAATAGGCTAAGTTAAGCTTCTGTCAGGTCCACATTTGTTCTGGAAACAATATAATATTAAATCACTATGGACTCGTAGAGAAACATATTCAAAAGGATGGTCAAATGTTTTTTGGCATTTCCGCCATTTTTTATATATTTTTAAATATCCGTTAAAATGGCTATACAAATATGATTTGGTATTGTTTGGTTTATTTTTAAAAATAGTCAGAAAATACGTGTCTGTGATGGGCTTTTATTTTGGAAAAACTGGCTCAACCTTTTACCGTAAAGCGCTGAATACATGCGACTAGCAAAATCGAGTGAAGGCTCACTGTAGCTGCACAGGTCCGACGAAATAATGGCCACGAATCATACGGGCGTCTTTTGAAGGTTTATTCTCGCTGTCATCTTTCTCTTCTTCCATCAACACCGTGAAAACTATAAATAAAGAACATTTGGCTCAGATCTTGAATTTACAGTTCTCTTTTAGAGCCTAAAGGTCTTAAATTCAGTACAGCAACACAAGTAAATAAACAAACCAACCCCATTTAGTAATTAATTACACCTTAAATAAATTAAACCAGGATCTTAAACAGTTACCGTGTGCGCATTTAGAACCAGGTGCGGTATCTCATGAGCACCTCAGGCAAGAATATACTGCGATGCATTCATGTGCTCCGTAAACAATGGGAAATTACACTTTTACACACAACTACACTTATGGACCTTCAACTCTTTTATTATATTATCCTATGAACCTTTCATTATTCAACTGCACACAGTAACTGGTCTCAAACACGTCGTTAGGCAGGCGGTACACTCCCTTCCTCGTGAAGCGGCGCGTGGAGGCTGGCTTTACCGCAGTGTTTGAGGTTCCGTGAAATGTCCAATCGTAGAAGAGCTCTTCCAGCCAATCACAGACGAGGAGGACATACTACGATTCCAAACGACGCAGCCTGCGTGAATGAACAATCTTAGCTTAGCTGAGCCCTTCTAGCCAATCAGACGGCGACAAAGGCGGGGTCTTTCGCTGACGTCACGCATTTCATAAAGCCGCTCGGCGGTCAGCCATTGGTCGGTGTCAGCCGAGGAAACCCCGCGGTAGCAGCAGCGGATCTCCGCTGTCACCCTCCGGTACCGGACTATGACCCTCTCTAAAACCGGCCTGTTCGTTTGACCTCGGTAGGCTCTCCTGGAGCCCCGGCGTTCCGGCTGCTCGGACAGCGCGAGCCGAACACACCCGCCGGTTCCGGTGTGATACGAGGGCAGCACACCGGCATGACTTCCTCCGGTGTCAAACACAAACATGTCCGTTTCGCCAGCATGGAAGACCAAGAAGAAGACACCCTGTTCGACAAGAAGACGGACGCGGGTCTGGAGCTGAGGAGCGCCCTGAAAGCGACCGAGAGGACGGCCACACCGGGAGGCCCAGACCGGGTGAAAGTGGTCGGTGGACGGAGCGGAGAAGGCTCGTTTGGCCGCTGGGTGCTGACGCTGTCGCTGTGTGGGTCCTTCCTGGGTCTGGTGGGTGCACCTGTTACCTCCAGCTAGCTAACCCTAACCCGGTTACTAGCCTGGTTAAACTAGCTAAGCATTACCTTTAGGTGGGGGGAGGGGAGTCAGATCAAGTGAAATCCACCTGAGCAGGTAAGGATGATGTGTTGCATCTTTGCTCCCTGCGTCAGACCTGCAGATGGGTGATGGAGGACCAACAGCAGTGCTTCATAGCAGGTGAGCAGCACCTGCAGGGCAATCTCCAGCAGCAAGATGTTCAGGTGGAGATCTGACTGCTCCAGTGGGGGGCTTCTGCCTGCAGCACATACCTGGTACACCTCCCCTTGGAGGCGTCCAAGAGGCATTCTGACAAAAGGCCTGAACCACCATAGCGGGTTCTTCTGGATGTGGACCTCTCATGAATGTGTGTCCACCCCCCCACTGGTATTCATGGTCTTGTTCTCTCGTCCTTATCCAAAGCTCGTGACCATAGGTGAGGATGGGAATGTAGAAGGACCAGTAAACCAAGAGCTGGTTTGGAATCCACATCCCGATCTGCTTCTCCACATGAGGCAGGGAGGTTCTGCTCCTCATCCTAGCAGCTTCACACTCAGCTGAGAACCTGCCCAGCCACCTTCTAGTTTATTGAAACTAGGAGGAGCATATCTGGGGACGTCCTCATCAAACTTCTCCAGATCCACCAACACATATGTACTGCTTGGACATGCCCCCAACCGCACCCATCGCCAGGACCAGAATCACATTGATCCACCTTCCCCCTGTATCCAAAACACATCTTCCATTTTCTTGAAAATGGACCACCACCCCTGATGTCCATGTAGAGTAGCGGGGGGGGGGGGGGGGGGGGTCCTGCCCCCATCTTCCCCGTAAACCACGTGAGTTAGCTGGGTTAGGGCTGGTGGACACTCACAGACCCACCATACCTGTGGGGTTCCTCCTTCAGAGAGGGTGTTCTCCTTGTGTTCCACCAGCATTTCCAAGGGTCTGCTGGTGTTCAGTCAGACTGGAGCCTGGGTTCCAACCTGCAGCCCACCAATTCTAGGGCACACTCCTAACTCAGGGCTGGGCCTGGAGGGCCGGTATCCAGCACGTTTTAGTGGTTTCTCTGCTCCATCATTAGGGTGGGGCATCGTTTGATTTAGAACGATTCCGATTCCTCGTTTCGATTCCGGTTCCTATCGATTCCCGATTCCGATTCTTTCCAGACATGACATGTTTTACACGAGCCAGCTAACCACAGGTCCTACTAGATGAAATAATCTTAACTTCAACATGAATTTTAACTCTATGAACAACAACATCACCTTCATTTAGACACAAACGTGTTTTGGAGAGAAAGAAAAAGACTTGCAGCACAACCAGTGTGTTTGTTTCTGACCACAACCAAAGTCTGGAAGCAGTCTCTGGGATGAGAGGCTAAATGTCTCCAACACATCCAGAAACGTCCAGCTGTCTTCAGCTACAGCTCTCAGGATGATCACGTCCAGGATGACTGAGAACTACACCTCCATGCTGCAGCAGCGCTCAGACACAACAGGAAGTGGAGCTTAAACGTAGCTGCTGTCAGTAACAAGCTAACAGGTTTAAACATTAAAACTCAACAGAAACAGTTCAGAAAGGAAATTAAAATGTTATTTATTTATTAATATTATTATAATTATTTATGGTGGCAGAAGCTGGTGTGGTCCACCACAGAGAAGCTGCTTTAGCATGATGACTTTAATTATTCTACAGGTTATTGTTCAGCCATCTGATGCTCACACACACACACACACACACACACACACACACACACACACACACACACACACACACACACGCACACACACACACACACACACACACACACACACACACACACACACACACACACACACACACACACACACACACACACACTCGAGTGTTGGTGAGCGGCTGCGTCTGACTGCTGACGCTCTGTGTGTGTTGTTATTTCTGCAGTGAGACAAACTCACCTCACACCGTCCAGAGTTTGTTCTTTAAGCTTCTATTAAATCCACCGTGTTGACGTATTTAACACGTTTCCTCTACGCTGCAGGAGTTAACGTTTACGTTACGGAGTAAAAGTTCGGCAGACATGTTTGTTTATATCTGGGTGGGGGTGGAGGGGGGGGGACTCGTGCTGCACACAGACAGCTGGTGGCATCAGCTCTGGAAAGCGTTGGTCACAATTTGCAGATCACGTTTATTTTTCACTCAGATCGGAAGCGGATTCCTCTTCCGGTCGGCATTCTAGGAATCGAAATAAAAAACTTTGAACGACTCTGGGAAAACTGTTGGTCCCGGTTCCAATCGATGCTCGATGCCCAACCCTACCCAACACACTAGTCAGAGGTTGAATCACCTGCAGCAGCTCATCAGGCTCTGCAGAAGCCTGTTAATCACCTGCTGATTGAAATCAGGTGTGTTGAAGCAGGTTAAAACTAAAACCTGCAGGACGCCGGCCCTCCTGGAATAGCCCTGCCCTAACCCCCGAGCCACAGATACACGTTACACTTGTATTCTGTCTGATTCTGGCACAATCCAAATGCCTGGCAGAGTAAACGTTCTCCTGAAGAGTTGTAACCCTTTGGGCTTTCTCTCCAGGGCATGAGCATCTCCGTTCTGGGCCCAACGTTCAAGGATCTGGCGGAGAATGTGAACAAGGACATCAGCAACATCTCCTACATCTTTGTTGGCCGCTCTGCCGGCTACATCGGAGGATCGCTCGTAGGAGGCGTTCTGTTTGACCGGATGAGCCCCCACCTCCTTCTGGGTGAGACCCCGTTGTTCGCCTCAGCAGCCAGACCCCGCCGCTCGCTTCTGTTCTTTAATCCATTTGCTCTTTTCATTGCAGGGTTTTCAATGCTGCTCACATCCCTTGGGATGTACGCCATCCCTTTCTGTAGGCAGGCAGCTGTTCTGACTGCCTTCATGTCCAGCATCGGGATGACCATGGGAGTCCTGGATACAGGTGAGACCGCTAGAAACCAGGATCCTTTAAACCATCCATGTGCGAACCAAAGGAGAGGAGAACTTGTCTTAGTTGTTAAATTGCAAATGGAGGACAGTAGGTGGCGTTGGCAGTCTCTGCACCAGTCTAATATCGATACAATCAGGGCTTAATTTGAGCCGGATCTTGCCGGTGTCGGTACAAGATCTGCTCGGGTGCAAGATCGGCTCGGGTCCGTCGACTGCCGATGACGTCTAAGTAGTTGATTGGCTGAACATGACCTTACGGAATTACGTAATCACGTAACGTTGTTATCACGTGACGTTGGTCCAGGCAAATTTTTTTCTATTGGAAAGATGGACAACTTTTACAAAGAAATCCATCATTACCTCTTTGAAAATACACTTTTAGCATAGAGCTGCAAGTATAATAGGGCTGAACGATTAACTGCATGTGCAATGAAATTGCGATGTGACAAAAGAAGATTTTCTAATGGCAAAGGCTGCAATTTGGCAGCGAGTGGTTAGCGCAATGCTAATATACATGGAAAAACCCATAGGAATGCTAATGCTAATATCGCAGATTACATTATTACAAATTATGAATTAGAAACGTGCCAAATAATTACATTTGGAGTCTAATAGAAAGTAAAAATACCATCAATCAAATAAGTACAGACAGGTATTTTAGTAAAGCCAGAAAACTTTTAACTCCAGAGTTTTGGCTAGCAGCTACAGTCTATGACAAGATGTCAAAAACTCTAAACACAAAATACTTAAATAAACGGGACACACTTCTTTCCTGCAAATTTCACAGGTGTTGCTAATACCTATGATTCTTCAAGGGATGTGCTCAAAGAGGAGTTCAACATTATGAATAAGATATAGTGTTTTATTTTACAAATACCATTATAAACACAAACTTACATCTTAAGAAACGTTATTTTAATAACGAAAGTGCTAAATTCTTTCCAACAGTATAGACGTGTAGTGTATTTTGTCCGAGTCGGTTTGCCGTACTTTGACGTCATCGGCAGTCGAAGGACCCCGAGCCGATCTTGCACCCGAGCAGATACTGTACCGACACCGGAACAAGATCCGGGAACTATCTTATTTTGAAAGGACCGTTCCGGCAACTCACGCGACACACTTGTGCTATACGCAGGGTTCAAATTACGGGTGAGCTAGGGAGCTCCTGGAAGCCCATCATGATCCGTTCCTGACAGCTGCGGTTTCTCCCTCCCCAACCCCCCCCCCCAACGCGCCCAGCATTGCGCTTAAAATGGCGAGCGTTAGTCTTGTTCAGATCAAAACACCCGGTTGTTGCGTTTTATCTTCAATAATTTGTAAAACGGGGAGCGGTGTCTCTTTAATATTCTTCCTCCGGAACGCCTGGGAGGGAAGCTTTTTATTGTAACACCGGCTTCCGGCATAAACTTCCGGTAGTCGGAAGCACAGTAAAAATCAGCCGAGTCTGTAAGAAGCGTTTCAAATCGCATTCTAATTGCTAAAAGTAAGTGAATGTGTTTACTTGTGTGTTTGTGTGTTATTCGTTACCTTGTTCCCTCTCTTCACGTTAGCACAAAGCTAATCGCTAGACAGTCTGATCAACTGTTGAGTAGCACCTTTTCCGGTAAACTACCCGGACTGTTCCGAGCTTTCGGAACAACCAGACTGTGGTCCGAAGAGTGATCGTGATCAAACTCGACACATCACTGAATGCGTGCACTTTCACCCGCTTAGCTTAGTGACTAGCACAGCCTGCTAACGTCCGAAGCCACAATAGCGGCTAGCGTTTGCGTCTGAACACCGCATAATGAACGCTAATCTTGGCCTAAGACGACGAGAACCAGTGCACAGGTCCGTTGCAGTCGAAGAGGTTGTCTCCACTGGACGTAAACTAAATACCCATCAAGTCCTGATTCTGTTCAAATCTAGGCCTTGCCGACGAGCTACGTAGCTTCGTCACGCGGGAGATGGGATCTGATACGTCAGAACCGAGCGGGAAAACCCGCCGCAGACGCCTGCGTCTCCAGTAAAATCCCTTTGGGTAAAAATTTTGTCTTAAAACCGTCGTGTTTTAGCCAAAAACCAGAGCTCAGCTGAAATGGCTCAGTTCGCCCGTGGATCTGATTAAGGGGAGTGACGCAACCGTGCCACGCCTCCATTAATCATGTTCCTTTAGCCCGGTGCTGCCCTCTACTGGCAGGTTTTCATCCGGCTCAAAAAGCTTTTCTTTCTCTCTAATTTCTTATTCCTCAAAATAAGGTTTCTAGTGCATCATCACAATGTCATACCAGCACAACTATGTGCTTCTTTCCTCACTGGAATGGCAGAGGAAAGGGAAGCTGACATGCAGCGGCAGAGTTCCACTCCGAACCAGATCCTGATGATGTACAAGAATGAAATCTTTCTGCTGCTGATCTGCTTTCAGAACAAATTCTGCAAACAGAAGAGAATCCTTGTGATTTTCTCCTTCAGGAAACAGAAACACCTGTTCCTGCTACACTGGAGACCGGTTCATCCGCAACGGACGAAATATCGGCCCACCCTGTCGTCGAGTCCGCCAAAATGTTCTGGGGACACCTAGTGCCCCAGGAGAACGCTGGTAAATCGCTGGTGTCGGTCAGACTGACCCAGAATCCATCCTGCAACGCACTTCTTGACACGGGTTCAAATTTTACTCTCGTAACTCGAGCTCCATTAAACCGGCCCAGAAACTCCACCGTAAACCGGTTCTCCCAACATGACCACATGCAGGCCAGCCTGGACATGCATCTGTGGCCAGAGCTTTCTTCTTTTTCAATCTCTCCTGTTTCGCTCCACCTTTCCTGGTCAGACTAGGTCCATTTTACCTCTGGGGTCAAAGGTGCGTTGGTGCTGTAGCCGCTTTGGGGTGGTGGGTGTCTGCAGCGCTTTAGTGAACTTCGGTTTGACGTCAGTGTTTGCGTTCCGGCAACATTTGATTTACAAACGAAGCACTGATGTAACGGTATTGGTACCATATCATTTATCCTGATGGAGTATTGGTATATCGCCCAGCCCTGGTTGTTAAACTTGACTCGCAGCTGAAAAGGTCCTGAAAGATCGTTACAAGAAAAGAGTTCAGAACCTCCGGGTCACAGCGCCTTCAGCAGCTCCGCACAGGCTAGCGTACATCTGTGAGCACGGCAAACGCTGGTGAATGTGCAAGCATTACTGATGTCATCGTTTTAGATTTCACACCTTCCAAGTTTGCAGGTACGAGTAAAACGATAAAACAAACTTTGCTTATTGTTCCACTGATCGTCCTCCTCCACCCCAACCCGGGACCCGGTTCTTATTCCTGGTTGTAGGGACCAAGGAACCATAAGCCACCCCTCAGCAGAAACTAGGACCGTCCCATCGCACATGCCAAAGGTCATCGGGCATCACACCGTCCAGCCTTCATTTGCCTGAGGAACAGTAGCTCTCCATACTCACCATCGCCATGACAACGCTCCTCCTGCCTCCTATCTCTGCTGCGTTACGTCTCCAGGAGGAGACAGAACTCTTAACCTTAATAAGAGAATTATTCTTTCCATACAATTCTTATTTTACACATACAGTACAGTGATCCCTCGTTTATCGCGGTAGATGCGTTCCAGACCTGGCCGCGATAGGTGAAAATCCGCGAAGTAGGGACTCCATATTTACAGTATTTATTTAACAGGTACGTATTCAGTATTCAGACTTTTAAAACCCTCCCTTTACATTGTACTGTATTTTTACTTGTTTTTTTATAGTTTTATTACAAAAAGTGCATTTTATGATGAAATTGATGAAAAAAAAACCAGGAATTTCTTGATATTTCGCATAGAAAAATACCGCAAATCGGCGAATTTCCCTTGAATAAGGCTCCAAAGAAAAAATCCGAAGTCGTGAATCCGCGATAAACGAACCGCGAAGTAGCGAGGGATCACTGTAATTACAACCATAGAACAAAGGTTTATCTAATAAGACCCGATCAAGTCAAAATACCTGAGGTGCTTTATCTTAAATGCACCAAACGCATGAGGTGCTTTATCTTAAATGCACCAAACACATCTACTTGATGAGTTAATGATTTTATTATCAGTCCTGTCTCATATTAATATCCGTGTATTAACTATGACAGTTATATCTCATGTAGACTACATAGGAAGCGAAATGGTTCCTTATAAGTCTCTTAAGGAAGGAAGTGGTGCGGAGGACCTTGATAACGCCTCCTACATTTTTCCTGGTCTCTGATTGGTCCAACCCAGACCTTTAGACTATTCGGGAGTTGCAGCCATCTTTGGTGAGATGAAGCCGGATGTTACGACCGATTCTTTTAGCGGCGTAGAACTGAGCCGCCATGTTTACCCGCTACAGCTTCAGAGCGCCGTTGCGCTGGAGCCTTTTCTTCAGACCTGCTCAGGCTCAGCAAAAAGGTTTTTGAATTTAGCTCACGTAAGTAAACCTGCATATTGGTGGTTTTCACAGGTAACCATGGCAACAGACAGAGTGGAGCCTCTGGCGCGACGTCGGCGCGGCGCTGGTTCCCGTCTCCGTGATGTTCTTGCGTCAGGCCCAGCGTCTGTGTGGCGTGTCAGAGGCGGTTTTCAGACCACCGACCCTAGCCAGCTTTCTAAACCAGGCCCCCGACCCTCGGATTGAACCACGTTCCTGCTCTGTGCTGCTGCTGGCTTTAGACCTGGTTGCTAACACGTGTCTGTGCTATTCCTCAGGTGGTAACGTGCTCATCCTAAACACCTGGGGGGAGCACTCGGGACCCCACATGCAGGCGCTTCACTTCAGCTATGCTGCCGGGGCCTTCGCGTCACCCATCATAGCCAAGATGCTGTTTGGTCACCACGGAAACTCGACCCACTCCGTGCACCCCAACACCAGCCACTCCTCCAGCACCTTCACCGTGACCGAGTCCATGTGGGCCTACGTTGTGATCAGCTCCTTCCTCTTCCTCTTCTCCTTGTTTTTCTTCGTCCTGCACTCCCGCAGCACCTCGCCACTGGACAAACCGCGTACATCACCAGGAAGGCCCCTGGTGGCCAGACACCACGTAGCTCTCGTCGCCCTCCTCTTCCTCTTCTTCTTCGCCTACGTCGGGGCCGAGGTGGCCTACGGCTCCTTCATCTTCACGTTTGCTACGGACTATGCTGGGATGTCTCAGGCCGAGGCGGCAGGACTAAACTCTGCGTTCTGGGGTGTGTTTGCTGCTGCCCGAGGTTTAGCCATTTTCTTTGCGGCCTGTTTGCGCCCCGGCGCCCTGATCCTCCTCTGCCTGGTCGGCTCCACGGTTTCCTCTCTCCTCCTCTGCCTCTTCAGCAGCCAGAATGTGTCTCTGTGGGTTTGCACCAGCCTGTACGGGGCGTCCATGGCCACCACCTTCCCCAGTGGCATCTCCTGGCTGGAGCAGTACACCACGGTCACTGCCCACACGGCTGCAGTCTTCGTGGTGGGTGCAGCTCTGGGTGAGATGGTGCTCCCTGCAATCGTAGGCTTCCTGCTGGGGAAGTTCCCTCATCAGCCCCTGCTGATGTACCTGTCCCTCATCACAGCCACCTTTACCTCCATCCTCTTTCCTGTCATGTACAAGCTGGCCTCAGCACCTGGCAGCCAGGGCTCGAAGCGGGCAGATGCTGACGATGGCGATGGCGAGTACAGGCAGGCGCTGCTGTACTCGGGAGGGGACGAGGAAGAGGAGCTGAACTAGGCTGATCAGTGGAGCGATGTAGATTTTGAGGTGATTGAAATTAATTGCTGATTCAACCCAAAAGGTGCCATCTGTGGACACCGGCAGTGTACCGGGCTCTCCTGCCACCTCCGGTCTGCTGGTGGAGGCCGCTGGAGAGCCGGCGTCTCCACTCGAGGATTCGCGCAGACGCAAAGCTCTGGCTGCTCTTAGGAGACAGAAAAAAGATTAAAAACCCGGTGAACTGGTGTTCAGGGTGTCCGTCATCAGCTGGTCAGGCAGGTGAGGTTCTGCTTGTGTGGTCACAGAGAGCACACCTACCTGTGCTAACAGGAAATCCTGTGTGAGATGGATTTACTCATCGATCTGCCGAGTGACTGATCTATTTATTGCTGCAGTTGTTTATAATTCCAGTCACTCATCACTGAGACGGTTCATCACCACAAGAGTTTATTACACGTGAGAGCTCCGCCCACAGCCACCTCATTAAAAACCGTGAAGAGTAGTGTGTGTGTTTTGTTTTACAGACACGTCCTGGTTCCTGCTGTTTATCAGTAAAAACTCATGAATGTGCACAAAGACATCAGAGGTCCCAGAACGGAAAGTAAACGGGGTTCTGGTCCCTGTTGGGTCAGAACATCGGTGCAGTAATGCCGTTAACCTAACGTTCAGTGGTCGTCCTTGTAAACCAACTGGAACGCAGGAGCCAATCAGAACTGCTCCAGCAGCTGTCGAAGGTAGGGGGCCTTGTTGAGCTGTCTAGTGACCCGGGACAGCTTGTAGAGGACGGGACAGTCCAGGGACGTGCAGGGGACCTGGCGCTCCACACATCCGCTGCAGTTCCTGCAGATCTGAACACAAAACCAAACGGGTCAAAACAGCAGCAAGTCACGGAGGGGCGGGGCCAGTGCTCAGCGGGGTTCAGACACACCCACCTCCCACTAACCCGCGCACATGTCCTTCCTACCGACGCTGATGTTTTTAATACCTTCCTTTGTCCCTCAGTGGGGAGCGTGCGTCATTTCAACAGAACAGGACAGCAGCAGCACACGTCGAGTGTAAAAAGCAACGTAATCGTTGCGTAACAACAGATGACCCACCAGATTTCTACTCGTGACTAAACGTGAGGTGAGCAGTCGACGGTATAACCTGTATGCTCCACAGAAACACGACTCAGCTGGGAAACGCACCTATGAGGGGCGTACCCACTTTCTGTCATGGGAACAAAACTCAGACCGGACCGCGCCGTACAGAGCAGCTTCAGGCTGAGCGGTCCTGCTGGAAAAGCAGCAGCGAGGACGGATCAGCCAGTCGCTGAAGCTGCTCTCCAGAGCAGACGAGGCGTCCTGCAGGGGGTGGGACTCACCGTCCAGCATGGACCTGAGTTTTACCAGAACCCTCTGGACCCCCACCTCACATCCAGAGCAGAGCTGGACTTCTTTATCAACCTGTCCAGTTTCTTCCTTTGTCTCTCTGTGCTGCTGCTGTTCCAACAGACCACACCGTACAGGATTACAGACGCCACCTCAATCAGGAGGTCTTCAGACGTATCCCCTTCACTCCAGAGGACTGCAGTCTCCTCCTGCTCTGGCCCTTCCTGTACGGTGCGTCTGTGTTGCGAGACCGGTCCAGTTTGTTGTTCAGGTGGACACAGGTATTTGTAGGATTCCACTCTTTTATTAACACTAGCTAAACTCAGGCTAATGCTAGCTACACACACAGAATGCTGCAGTGTGTTCTGACTGGGTGGTCCTGGTGGGTTTGTGGCGCTTACTCATTAGCGTCGATTCGGTTCCTTCCGGGACTGGAATGGTCTCACACACAGGTCTGGTTGGCGTTTTCGGTTCAGAGGCGACTCTTTTTTTTCAGACCTTCTCCCCAGCGATCAGACAGGGACCGAGGCGACACTACGGACTGATTGGCCAGCTGAAATTACGCCTACCGCCTCTGATCTGCGAGTAGAATGAGCCAGCGGGGGTTCCCACATGCACGATTCATTTTCATGCTGAATGCTGTTGAGTAAACGTGTGTGTGTGTGCGCGTGTGTGTGTGCGCGTGTGTGTGTGGCACAAAATCATGAGGACACACACACAGCAAATTAATAAAATAATGTGGTTCAATCTCCAAAAGCAACACAGCTCATGTCCACCTTTGTTTACCTTATATTGTTTACCTGAGCGTATTAAACTCCGCCCACAGGCTCGGGGATTTCCTTATTCCCGAGAAGTCCCTCAGATTTATATGTGAACACTACACCGCCCGTTAAGGGACCAAACTAACACCAGCCCCACCAAAACTCCACCGTACCGACGCTCATGTGTAAGCACCACTGGAGACCTTCTTTCTGAGGACCTGAGAGGTGAACTGACCTTCAGCAACTGCTCCTGCTGGCTCTCCCACTGCCTCATGTCTTGGTGAAGAGTGACAACCACCCTCTGGGGCTCAGCACGGCACCGGGCACACACCCCCAGCTGGGTCAGCTGGTCACACACGGGGCAGTGAAGTGTGGTGAAATACTGGGAAATGGTTCCCTTTCTCTCAGAGGGTTCCCTCACACCTGCAGCAGAGGTGCAGGACTTCTGGACCTGCAGATAGAGAGGGCATAATAACAGCACTGTCACAACAGTCATTATAATAATAGTAATGATATGTTTGTGTTTAATAACAATAACATGAATAATAACAGATCAAATTAGACCTAAAGTGGTCCACCTAGGACCACCCTGTGATGGAGCTATCTGATGGAGGTCCGTCTGACCAACATTCACACAGGCTAGGCGGTTGACTTGTTGCCCAAGGAAACAGCAGAATCTGTGGGAACCAGCAACCAACTGAACCAGGTGAGGTCTAGTGTCATGGTCGTGCATTTTAAAACTGGACCTGCTGCCTGGCGACTGCATTGCCCCTGAGTGGGTCTGGGTGGAGGCCTGGGGGCTCGGGGTGGCCGGCCCCGTGTGGGGATCTGGGCGGGGCCTTGGGGGACGGGTCCTGACATGTATGCTGCCGGGAAGACAGGAACATGCGGCAGTGCCTGGCTCGGGCTCAGGTAGACCTTGGCTCCTCTGCTGTCCCATCACGGGGGAAGGGGATGTCCAGGAGGGGGAGGATCCAACCTTACCTGGATGTCCTATGTCATTTATTCTGGAAGCTGTGCAAATGCAGGGATGGGAGTAGATATTCTGCTGGGGTGGGGCTGCGTTGGTTCCCTCGGACTCCGTGGAGCTCTGCAATGCTGCTGTTTTGGGCCCTGGCAAGATGGACTGGGGTCTCCATGCCCTGGGTGGCATTTTGACAACACCAACGCCGCTCTCCCGCTATTTCCCTAAAAACACACGCTGTTTGTTTTAATTTCTACACGTTTTTTTACTCACAAAGATTGTCAAGAAAGCGTGTTTGTCGTGTTCATGTCTAATTAAACTGATCACAAAACACAGATTTACTTTCTTTATTTTGTTTTCCTCATCCAACCCCCATAAATCCCTGTGTGTCCTCCTGCAGCGCTCCCGAAGGACAACAGGCAAAACAAGACAAAAAAGTCTGATGTGTTGTGTAAAAACTGCTATTTTTAGCATATTTTTAGGGCCGACGTGTTGCTACCAGACGTACAGTGTGAGAACGTGACTTATGAGATCTGCCCTGCGAGGAAGTCGTACAGTTTGAGCTGAAGCTGAGTGCTACGAGTGAAAAAGTCGTACAGTGTACGCCCGGCTTTAGGCCAACCAGCCATTCCTCCCCATCCCCACATATTTGTCTCCTCCTGCTCCCTCACATCATCACACAAACATGCACATAGGACCTTGGGGGGTGGACAAGTCAGGGGGTGCGGGTATGGACCCTATTTCCACATTCCCGTGGCAACCTGCCCCCCAATTTTATTTGCACCTTATACACTTCCACCGACGACATTCCACTCAAACACACACTTAGGGCCTTGGGAGTGAGCACATTCAACGGCATTTGGCAAGGGGATCTTTCAGCCTCATCCCAGGTGCCGGTGCCCACTTCCAATTTTAAACTGCACTTAGACACAGAGGGCTCTGGGGGGAAGAGGGGTGGGGGTGGTGGCATCAGCTGGCGTAGGCCAGACGATGCCCCGCACTGCCCGCTCACCACAACCATGGAATACACCTCATCAACACGCACCAACACTGCATTGGAGCAGGCGGAGGGAGACTAGGGGTCTTAGCACACCTCTGTTGTTGCTTGGCTTCCCGGGGCTGGAGGCTAGGAGGGGGATCCGGCCGTCTGGTTGGGTTCTGGGGTGGTGGGTTGCTGTGCTCAGCATTGGGCGGGGCAGCCTGCTCATCAGCACCCCAGCAGAAAGGGTCAAACTCTGGGAACCGGTGATGGTTGTACCCCATGTGCAGCAGTACCGGGACCAGAGTGAATAGGGTGTGTATGGGGAGCATGAGTGGGTGTCTGGTGTGCATTTTTGTATGTCTTTGGTTGTATGTGCATGTGTGAGCATGAGGGAGGGAGTGTGTGACTGTGTCTGTGTATGATTGTACAGCAGGGATTCCCCAAGTGTGGTGTGCACACCCCTGGGGGTGCGCGAGCTGCCTCTAGGGGGTACGCAAGGTGAAAAGTGTAATGGCTGCGGAGCTCAGAGAAGTCTGTCATATGTCACCATTAGCGTAGCCAGAAACTCGTTTGTGGGTGGGCCTAAGAAAAAGTAATTGAAATCAAGTATATTTTGCACACGCGCGCGTGTCCTCCACATGTGCCCTAGCTTCATAATAACAATGCACCGAGTTTCAGCGCTCTGGCCTGCGCACGCTGATATGTTCCGTATCATTTTTAACGATGTTGGAGGAATCTGAAGGTGGCGAGTCATTCTGGCAGATTGTAATTAACACCTGTCTCATGCAGGTGTTCTGACATTGTAAACCTCACACACAGAACATTATGTAACAAAATAAATCACGAAATGATTCCCATCTGAGCATTTTAGCATAATTTTATTATTAGATTAGCACGCTGACTGTGGGACAGCATTCTAAACGTGTCAGGCTATTAACAGCGCGCTGAAGATCTGAAGTTCAGAGCGCGTTTGTCAGTCAGACGCGTTCCAGCGGAACCACGGCTCACGGGTGCACATGTGAGCACATCTGCTGGGCAGAAGTAATTTTATAACATTGGTTTAAATAGCGCCAAATAACGAGACGCGGTGACTGGAGCGGCTCATGGAGCTGTGCCACACGCACACGCACGCACACACACGCACACACGCGCACACACACACACACACACACACACACACACACACACACACACACACACACACACACACACACACACACACACACAGTTTCAATAAGCACACGCACCGTCAGACTGAAGGCAGAAATTATCGCGTTTAAAGCGTGCCACAACCCGTGCACGCGCATTGGGTCCACAGCGCGCGTTGTGAACGGGACTCGCGAGCGAAAATATACATGGCGAGAGGTCATTTGTGCACTGAGAGGGAGCAAACTGTGTCTGTGAGCGCACAAGGATGTGCACAAGTGACAAACCTGCGTGCGCGCGTTGTCAACGAGCACACGGCAGAGGAAAACGTGCGCGCGCGGCAGCCTCTCTGCGCGCTCGGTTTCTAATTCCGCTCGCTCGGCTGTGAGGAGTTTTGGCACTCTGGAGGCGTGGCCTGTGGCAGATCTTCCCTATCCTCTGATTGGTTAGTTTACCCCGCACTTTACTCTCTAGCTATCTATATAAAAAAATCTGATATTCAGTAGTTGCTGGCATAGCTCAGCTGGGAGAGCAGGTGACTCTCACTCTGGAGGATCCAGGTTCAAGTCCGGCCAAGTAACATAGAGTTGATGTCATATTATTCTTTCCTAATTCCTGTGATATTATTTTACAGTTGTGACCGTTCAACTGTCATTAAATGTCCGAATGTTTGCTGGGCAGTGTTTTAAAAAGTGCACATAAGCTAGATGGTTTTAACCAGGTAAAAATAGACTTGTGGGTGTAGGTATGTTCAAGTTTAAAAAGTTCTTGCCTCATTAATGTATTGTTTATTTTTTCAGCATTTAATTGACAAATTATCCTTTCAAATAATTAATTGATGAGTTACATAATTGTCCATTTAGAATTGTTGAATGGACTGAGTCAAGTTTGGTGCACTTTATATATTTCAAAACATGTTTTTTTTTTATTATGCATATAAATAATTTTAATGTTAATTTATTGAAATATTTCTATTTCTTCATTACCTCACCCTTGTTTTGACAAAAACAAGACCTTGCTGGATAATATCATGGAGAAACTATTTGTTCACAGTACTTGGCTCAGTGAGGATCTGTGTACCAAAGGAGGAGATCCTCAGAAATCTGTCTGCAGATTGTTACAACCCAGACTGGAAGTGGTGGGCTGTAATAAGAAAGGAGACCAAACAGAGGAGTGGGGGTTCAACAACTGATTTATTTAACAAAAGTAAGGATTTACTAAAGCAGATCAGTGCAGTCAAGAATTACTGGTGTTTGGGTAGTCCTGAACGTGTTGTGATGCCCCCACCGTCTCATTGGGTTTTCATTTGTGTTTAATTGTGTTTTTCTTCTGTTGTAGGCAGCTGGTTAAGCAGCCTTGGAGGCACCTGGGCTCAGGGTGTGGTGCTGCCTACAAAGCCTACTGTTTTTCTGCTTTCACTGGGTCTCTCCTGTGTGGTGGAGAGTCCTCACTGGCCATTTTCTGTTCACTAACTTGCTTTAGTAAATCCTTACTTTTGTTAAATAAATCAGTTGTTGAACCCCCACTCCTCTGTTTGGTCTCCTTTCTTATTACAGCCCGCCACTTCCAGTCTGGGTTGTAACAATCTGCAGACAGATTTCTGAGCATCTCCTCCTTTACACAGATCCTCACTGAGCCATGTACTGTGAACAAATAGTTTCTCCATGATATTATCCAGCAAGGTTCCGTTTTTGTCAAAACAAGGGTGAGGTAATGAAAAAATAGAAATATTTCATTAAATTAACATTTAAATTATTTATATGCATCATTAAAATAAAAAAACATGTTTTGAAATATATAAAGTGCACCAAACTTGACTCAGTCCATTCAACAATTCTAAATGGACAATTATGTAACTCATCAATTAATTATTTGAAAGGATAATTTGTCAATTAAATACTGAAAAAAATAAACAATTCATTAATGAGGCAAGAACTTCTCTCTCTCTCTCTCTCTCTCTCTCTCTCTCTCTCTCTCTCTCTCTCTCTCTCTCTCTCTCTCCTCCTCTCTCTCTCTCTCTCTCTCTCTCTCCTCTCTCTCTCTCTCTCTCTCTCTCTCTCTCTCTCTCTCTCTCTCTCTCTCTCTCTCTCTCTCTCTCTCTCTCTCTCTCTCTCTCTCTCTCTCTCTCTCTCTCTCTCTCTCTCTCTCTCTCTCGACCTCTCTCGACCTCTCTCGACCTCTCTCTCTCTCTTGAAGCCGCACTCTAAGGGAGTTTGCAGTGTATTAGTGAGTCATATATTGTACAACCACAGTCATAAAGTTTTCAACCAGTAGTTTTATTTCAGTATGTATTTTTCCAGTATCACAAAAAATGTAATTTTATATGGTTAAAACCATCTAGCTTATGTGCACTTTTTAA